GATCCTCGACCATAGACGCACATCTTTACCGCGCTATGCCAGTAATAAGACGGGTAAAGAAGAAAGGTTGAGCATGAGGCTGGCTAACAACCCCATCCCCTTAAAACAAAAAACCACTGCTACTGAATCTTTAAGCCTCTAGTTTGGAGCCCTATGTTCACTGGGAATGTGAAGGAATTATAATATAATCTACGCATGCACCCGACCGAAGGGCGGGTGTACTGCTCATCAATCCGCTCCGTCCTCCTTTATGGCTGTGGGACCCATGGTCACTGAGAGTGGAAGACATGAAAAGACTAGCTGTCTTTGATCATAGGTGCCTGCGTTCTATTTCCCGTGTAAAGTGGCACAATAAGGTGAGCAATATAGAGGTTTGGCGTCGAGTTCTAGGTAAACAGGGTAAATCAATCGACGAACTCGTGAAGTTACAAAGACTGAGATGGTTAGGACATGTGTTACGTATGCCAAGTCATCGCCTTCCTCGACGAGCAATGTTAGCGGATATAGGGTCAGGCTGGAAAAAAGCTAGCGAAGGTCAAGCAAAAATATGGCACCAGACAATGAAATCTACAACAGTTAGTCTAAGCCACGTAGGAAGGTGTAAACTTCCCGGTTGGGGTCCTCGGAACTGTAAAAAACCATTGTTTGGTAACACTTCGTGACATGGCTCAAACTCATCATTCTCAATCGCTGGCTCAGATGCATCCACTCCTTGTGACTTACGATTTCCAATGAAACTGTTTTGTTCTTCGTTATTACTCCTCCTTTGTCTCACACCTCTGCTTACTGTCTCTATTATGCTTTTCTTGTACTTTCTTCTCTTGCTTCGCGTGCTACACGGAGTGTGAAGACTTGAACTGCAGCACATATGTTTAAAGTTCTATATCAAAAACAGACAGACGCACGCATAACGTAATACTATTATTGTTAGATACAGGTTAACAGTGTACATTCTACGAAGCACCTTGTCTGCTATTTCAAACACCTTAGCTGTGAATGTCCTAGAATACAGACGACTGCTAGTGTGTCACTCAAAGGCCCGAGCTTAGCAGTCTTGGTTTCAGTGTTACCCCATGTATTAACTAAGCCACTTTACAAGTAACAAATTCAGTAAATACCTAAACACAACTGAATGTAAAGGAGACTAAAATGTTTGAATTCAATTTCTATCTTACTTATTGAAGCGAATAAAAAACTGGACAACTGCTCACTAGTGACTGGCTGCAGGAAGAAATTGTCTGCAGCTCTTCTTGGCGAGAAGTCGTCATCTGTGTGGGGTCCATCCGGTCGTGAGTGAGGACAAATATTCGCCAGAAATCCACATTGGATGGTGTCACTCACACTAAAACTCACAAATTTTTAGAAGTTCGAATTCATTGGTTGGCCATTGAGTTTTTTTGTTTTTTTATTTACAGCTTGATTCCACACTGTTTTTTTGGTACAAGTATGGAATTTTCAGCATGCAGGCCGATCATAGATATCAGGTGTGCGCTGGCGTGGGCTCGAACCCCGGACCATGTGCATGGTCGGCGGGAGTCCTAACCACTGTTCCACCGACGCGCAGTCTCATCCCAGTGACTGAGTGAATAGTGTACAAGCTAGCATTGTAACCGGAAGGTCTTGAGCTTGAAGCTTCTGTGATGAGTACGTACTTCTGAAGAGTCCAGGGATAGGATAAAAGAAACAGTTTGTCAGAATCTATAAAGCTTCTTTAACTGACATCAATCCATATTCAAACTAAAAACAAGTATTGTTTACAAAGTCATAACCACATGTATGGCGATGCCATGATATTCTTTGTTCACAAAGACGCGATAGTCATTACACTGCCAACCATTTAGGTCTAGACTAAGATGAAACTCAATTTAACTGCTCCTGTTTAGTCAGTTACATAGGTCGTACAGTGAGGCATGTTTCTCGTCAGATTTCCGAACATTATCTTTCACAGTGGTTAAATCAAGTAAAGGACTGAATCAATGGTGTACGAACTAGCCTTGTAACCGGAAGGTCTTGAGTTTGAACCTTCTATGGCGGGTATGTACTTCTGAAATAGGACAAAAGAAACATCTGTCCAATACTTGAAGAGCTATATTTACGCCTTGTAGTAGAGTGGTGTTAGTACGTAATATCGGTGTATTGATTTAAACAGAAACGAGTAGTTGGCTGGATACCCGTACCAACTGAGTTACGATAATTGTTCCTAACATCCAGTGTCAAACGATTTTGTTTTTTTTCTGTCACATTCTACGTTTGTTCAAACAGATTTTGATCATTCAAGTGTTGGTCTGTAGGGATTTGATTGTGTAGGGATTTGATTGGTTTCAGGATCACTTCACTAAAGACTTAGTAGATAGATAAATTGGTTATTATTATTATTAGAGAAGAGCAGAAAAAAGGCGAGGATTGGTCATGTTATTTAGAATATCACATTTTCAGTCATCACACAATTAACTACATACTTACACTATGTATCAAATAAGTCCAATAATCTATATTTTCCTCTATTCGGAACACTACTGACACACCCCACTGCATATTTTTATGTAAAGTTTGAATTGTTAATTAGTATTACTGCATATAATCATTATGTTGGCTGTGTGTTCATCAATTTGTTTGTATTAGGCGTAAAGTCAGAATCATGTTACGCACTGTGCTTCACTTTTTATTTCAGTGTTAGGTGTTAATGTGTGTGTGTGTGTGTGTTTGGATGCTGTGAATTCGTGCTGTGTAATATGAATTTGAGTGTTGTAGGCAGCTGACTTGCTCTTATGTGCTAACAATCACGATAACTTGACTTAAGGGTTTTCAGTTGATTGATATCTAACATAAATAAAAATATTAATTCAGAAATCTATAGAACACAAAATAATTGAGCAAAGAATATCCTTTTCGATAATATATATATATATATATATATATATATATATATGACAAACTGTTTCTTTTATCCTATCCCTGGACTCTTCAGAAGTATCGCCAGTACTGAGTAGAAGGACTAAATCTGTAGGCAAAATTAATCCTACAAGCCTCATGCCCAACTTTCCCTCTCTACCAGACCTATTACTGGCTTAGTGAGATAAAGGTGTGCGTCTGTGGCCGAGGATCAATCCGCGAAGCATATGTGGCGCGATTGGCGAGCATATTCTACCACTGTACCACTAATTGAGTATAACTAGATAATTTGTTTTGGTTCGATATCTTACAATTAAAACACCTGTAACAGAATAGCACTATTTGAAGTTGTTATGTTGTACCCTATTGGTCATATACATTCTTAAAACCTACATTAATGAGTATAACTCATTGTCTAAGGGATATGAAATTATACATGAATAATAACTTGTGCGAACTAAGTGTGCTCAACTTGTTTTCAAGGTTAATGTGCTCTAATTTCACATCTTTTTTTAAATGCAGTATTTATAGATCCCATGAATAATTAGTCATCCGTTAGGGTAATGTATTCTCTATTTTAGTCCTATAGTGTTTAACTTAAAAAAAAAATTTCTGACCATAAAGTGAACATTTATATATTAGTTATGCATAATTTTAATATATTTAAGAGTATTTAGTAATGTAGTTCAGTGTTTGCACATTGGAATGTTGCAGATTTGAAACAGTTTGAAATACGCTGTTCAGTTCTGATTAATTGATCCAGTTTAAAATCGTATCAGATGTGACCTTTCTTATTATTTGTTAATTATGCTGGTTACATGCTGAATGTTATTTTCTCCATGAAATTCAATTGTGAATAAGTGTTTTAGGCGAATCATAGTTAACAAGTGATAGGCTTAAATATAATGACATCTATGAGCGGGGGTGTGTGTCCGCCAACTAAAGTCCCCCAGGTATAAAGTAGATATGAATGATTCTTGGCCTAGTACTTGAAGAGAACTTCAAACCCTTCAGTATGCGTAGGGGAACACACTAAACTGACCGTTGGGTGACATTGCGCTTCAGGCCCTCGAATAGAATCCGAATAGGAAGCAACGAGAAGAATATCCGTAGGTGACATTGAGGAGATCATGTGAGGAGGAGATGAGGGATTGTGGTCAATCGTGGACCCAGCTGAAAAGGACATTGCTAAATAGAACAAAGTGGAGATGTTCAAGTGTTGGTTTGTAGGGATTTGATTGTTTACAGGATTTCATCATGAGCTGACAGTGATTAGAGAACCATTAGAAAACCTGCAGGGAGTACTGGACAGCTGCTTCCTCCGTCATAGTTTGGGACTCTCCAGCAGTACGCACCTACCGGGATTCGAACCCAGGACTTTCTGATTACAAGGCGAGCTCGTAGACCTTCAAGCCACTGGGACGCGATCCAATGACCCATGAATTGTAACTTCTTCCAATTCACGACATAGCGCGACCCCTAGCCAATGTCCTCAGTGGCGAGTATTTGTCCTCACACCCGACCTGGTGCACCCTACTGGTCACGACTTCTCACTAGAATCCCAGGTAACTACCTACCTGAATAGGGCCAGTCGCTAGTGAGCATCTCATCGATATTCAAGTGGAGATGTGTTCTCGAAGACCTATGTCCCACTCGGAACCCAATGGAATAATAATAATATAATCAGACCCCTAGGCTGCTTGGTAGAAATGTGAATGAACTGACCGATGAAACAGAACCGCACACTAGATTATTTTAAACTGAAGCTATTGCGTGTTTCTTCTGCTTAATTTTTTTGATTGAATTGTGCGTCGGTGGCACAGTGGTTAGGACTCTCGCCGACCATGCACATGGTCCGGGGTTCGAGCCCACACCGACGCACACCTGATATCTATGGTCGGCCTGCAAAATTCGGACTACTGATATCCATGCTGAAAATTCCATACTTGTACCAAAAATACGGTGTGGAATCAAGCTGTAAATCGAAAATCAAAAAAAAAATGAATCAAGTAATTGACAATCTTTGATTAATAATCGATTGATTGAGTTTGTTTTTTACTTCTCTTTTCTTTTTTTTCTCTAGTCTTTCCTCGGCTAGTTAATCAACAATGTCTTGGTTATCAGATCTAGCTAGTAAAGCTGAGAATTTTCTGAATACCTTAGATCATTCAGCTGCTGAAGTTCTTAAGTCAAATGACCATCAAGCTGTTGATGATAATTATTATAACACAAATATCTTAAGCAAATCGCATGATCTACATTCTAATGTCCAAATGTCTTCACATTCAAGATATGATATGCCAGTGACAATCAAGCCCCTAGATATGTTGGTGGAGGGTATTACTACTACAGGATGTCAGTCATTATTATCCTCAGATGGTGGTGGAGAGAATTTTTCGTCTGTACATTTCTCTGCTAGTAGTAATCAATCATCATCAGATGCCTTTAAATACAGCAACAGTAGTACTACACATTCAGGACAAGGGGATCAGAATGAAATATCTAGGTGAGTAATTATATTTTAAGGTGTTTTTCTCTAAGACTGCATTAATACCGTAGTGTAGAAGCTAAGATGAAGTTTCTACTTACAACGCATTTTTTTGTTTAGATTTTTGTGACTGATATATGTTTCTTACATCCATGCATGCATGTCTAGCGATCACCTTCCTTGACGGGGAAGGTGTTAGCTGACTGACACATAAGATGGATCAGGCAGGTTGGAAAAGAGTTAGCTAGTGGTGGTCGAATGAACACATAGTTATCAGTGAGCGAAATCCATAGCAGATAGTTTGAGCCAGTCAGCCTGCCAACTACGAAGGTGTAGACTTCTCGATTGGTTGTGATCGTCGGGACGTTAAAAAAACCAATGGTCACTGGAGATAATTGGTGATATGGCTCGAAATTCTCGTTCTCAATGGCTGGCTGGCAGATGCATCCACTCCTTGTATCCCTGTTTACTGTCTCTATTATGCATTTCTTCTTCTACTTTCTTCTGTTGCTTTGTGTGTTACAAAGAGGGAGTGTGGCCACTTGAACTGCTGCATATCTGTACGAAGTTCTGCGTTGAAACCAGTCAATCAGTTAGTTAGCTTTCTTCCCAGATGAAATCATTTATTCATCTTTTACCTTAATTTTCCTCATGTGTTGTTGTCTTTGTTATGTTATGTACTCGTCGCCAATATGTTATGGGGTCATTGCCGATAGCATAGTGTGACCGAGTGTAAATATACGCTAATGAGATATAACGGACGATAACGTACAGACTGGTATTGCCGAGTACTTAATTTTTCCAAACGCGAAGAGGCAAATTAGAAAACCACCAAGTTCAAGAGGATGCGTGTATTTCCCAACAAAGAAAATTTACTGTCACACAAGAGTGTGAGTGGAAAAGGTACTAAAGGGTGAGAAAGAGTGTATTAACTTTACAATACAAAAGTATATATAGAAAAAATCCCCATTTAGACATTTAAAAAAGAGAAAGATTGAACGAAGAAATATTCACTTTTCAATTAGATCCTCATCTCACTCTGGCTCTACTCTAATATATTCTGTATAGCATTTTTATTACAATACACAACAGTGTACCAATCATCAAGTGGCACCAATATGTTTGTTAACAATAATTAGTCAGTGTCAACATGTCAGTGGGTTGATAATTAACGAAGAAAATCAATACAAACAATTAAAAGGTAGAAATGGTTAGAATAAATTAATTTTACAAGGATAACACGTAATTAAAGATTGGGTGGTCAGAAAGAATGAAATCATTTGGACAGTTGTGCTTTTTATAATTTTATAGGTTCAGGGGGAAGGGTGAAGTAGTCCGGTTTAAACATTCATGTAACGATGGCCAAGGTAAGGAAAGTGGCTGTACCAGTTTCTTCTGAACACGCAGGTTTGGCTTCTTCATGTGTATTCCTGTTGCTTCAGCTGTATGTAGAAGCCGAACTCTTAAAGCAAAATTAAGGTTGGTAGGAATGCGATAAATAATTTTAAATGCTGTATTAACTAACGTCAACCTTATGCTCACTATCTACAAGGTGTGCCATAATAGAGCTGCGAATAGATCTCGTTTGTTCCTTGTTTAACCATGCTGAATGATGTTCGGAAATACGATGATGAACCTGCCTAATTGTACGCCCAATGTAGCTGGTTCTGCAGCTGCAGTCAAACTGGTAGATACACATAGAGGAGGCAAATTTAGGTAGTTTATCGTTATTTCTCGAACATAGAATAGAGGTGGTTGTGAAGGGACAACGTACCTCTGCTGCATAATAAGCTCTTTTAACTGCATTCTTCAGGCGCTGTGTTATTATTTCGCTGATGTTGTCACCGTGGTACTGAAATTTTATGAACATTGGTTTTTTCGGAACATACATGAATCAATAAGGTAGACAGTAGTTTTTCTTACCACCAACTGGATTCTGATTGGTTGTAATGTCATGTGATAAAAAGGTCATACATTGTTTATCAAGTTAGTGGACATATTGTGAGTTATAATGGGATAACGATCAATATACACACACGGCAAAACATACCAAACTGTCCAAATAAAGCAGGCATCATGTGACTACATATCAGTTTTATTATTATTTTTATTGTTCTGTGGTCCATCTTCATCTTGGTGCCATATTGTACCAGTTATTGGGTTTTAAATAAATAAATAACTCAGGAATTGTTTATTTGTTGTGTCCTTTTATGTACTCTAATAACGAATCATGGTAGTGAAATGAAAGTAAGTCACCTGTCCACAAAAACGTCTAATGGTTAGATGTAGGTTAGTTTAAATGGGGTCAATATGATAGCTGAAATCCGTGTTTGGATACACTGAAATGATGCGTGAACGTGGAATGTTTGCAGTGTTACAAATACTTTATTTCCAATTTGTTGAAAGATTTTTTAATTTTGTATACTGCATATATTTGTCTGTTTTTCGAGACTTTTGATTATAATATTTTCAGTGTTATCATTATTATCATGATTACTTTGATGGTATTATATATATATATATATATATGTGTATATGTTTTTGATGTGGCTGTGTTCTCTGAGCTGGATAGTTAATTTGTGAAGCTTTCATCGCCCCACCACTAGGCGACATCTTCAGCGGATACTTCAGTTGGCTGAAGTGAGATTTTTGATTTCTCCACGTGTTTATTAATCATCTTTCCTGGTCGGTGAACTTTGACATGATTGGTTGTTCTTGTGTGTTTCAACACCATCTAGGTTACTTGTGGTATTGGAACTGATTGTTTTCTTGACGTGAACTTTGACCCTTTGTGTGTGTGAGGTTTCCTTCTTATCGGTTGATAAATTTTGTCTGTGTTGATGTGTCTATTGATTGATGATTCACTGGAATACCAGGCAAGCTTCTAAAAATTCTCTAGCATTCTTGGTGTTTCCTCTGTCTAATATTTGAACGTTGGTTGTTCCAGTCGAATTGATGTCCGTAGTTGTCTGTATGTAGGGGTATAAGCGAGGGAGTGGATGTCATCATGTCTTTTGACGGCTAGCTTATGTTCGTGGATACGGAGGCGAAGGGGACGTCCACTTTGGCCAATGTAGTGTTTTTCGCAGTTGTTACAATTTATTTTGTAGATGATGTTGGTTTTATCTTCGTTCGCTGTTGAGTCTTTTGATTGACATAGAATTGAGTAAAGTGACCTTGTTGGTTTGTGCGTGACATCAATTTCTAAAGGTTTGAAGAGTCTTGTAGTGATTTCTGAGATATCCTTTATATATGGTGGGGCGATTTTTCTTTGTGCTTTCTTTGGGGGCTTTTGATTTGATAGGTTGGTTTGCTTGGGCGTATATGTCTTTTGATGAATTTCCGTGGATATCCATTCTTTTAGAAGACGTCTATGAGATATTTTTCTTCAATTTTCCTTAAGGTGGGAGTGCTGCAATGAGTCCTTATCGTCTTGAATTGGGCAAACAAACATCTAGGTTGTATTGAAGATTCGAAATCGTTAACAGTTAAATGCTTTTCAATGAAATCTGTCACTAATAAGAGATGTTACCTAGAACATACCAGAAGTCGACTTCAACGAATTGAAGTATGCGCTAAAGATGTCGCCTAGTAGGGCAGTGAAAGCTTCGCAAATTAAGTATTCACCTCAAAGAATACAACTACATCAAAATCATCCACCTGAGCTACAAATCTTCTCTATCATATCTATATATTGAATGTTATATATTGAATGCCCGACCGAAAGCTGCTACCTTGACGTGGTGGTCGGGCTTGAACACCGCAATGACCTAATCAAGCTATACTGGCTGAGACTTATGTCTCTTGAGGTTCTACCATGCCAGGCAGGTTGTTTGGATAGCGGTTAAACAAAAAGCAGCTACCCAATCCAACATCATGTCCAATACAAAATTACAAAATTTCATGCCGGATCGGCCGTGGCCCGGATTAACAACGACCGCGCTTCCTGCTGCCGTGTCACAGGGCGGGAGTGATAAATCTGCTACTGAGACACACCAAACAAAAAAGAACGAACAAAAACAGGCCGCGTGTGACCGGCCTCAAGCAGTTGTCCCCTGGGCTCTGCGGTCACGCAACCAACTTCCACGGTGTGGGCAGCCGGGAAGTAACAATCGCCCTCACAATCCGAAATGCACACGAAACCTCTCTATTACTCACTCATCTTTGTCTTCATCTTCATCTCTATCATCTTGCCTTCCTTCCACTGATGCAACTCCTCGACTTGATAGCTCTCCACTTCCTCTCCACTCTGCGTCCACTAAAAACGATGGAAGCCAAAAAACCACCACCGACAGCCTCTTAAAGCCGCGCCACCAATTTCATATAGGAGCTCTTAATGTTAGGACACTTTGCCAAATAGGACAACAAGCATCACTAGCCAAGACCCTGGCATCACGAGCCATTGATGTATGCTGTGTTTCAGAAACACGCATACAAGACCCAAGTGTGGTTATTCACCTAACCCCACCTGGCCAACAGGTTGAATCTGCAAAATTCACCTTGAGGGTGTCAGGAGATGCCACAGCTAGTTCACGAGGATTAGCTGGCGTAGGGATAGCTTTGAGTACTAGGGCAGAAAAGACATTGCTTGACTGGATCCCGGTAGATAGCCGAATGTGTGCTGTCCGCCTGAACGGATCAGTAAGAAGGAGGAAGGACTGCACTACTCGCCGATGCCTTTTCGTAATCTCCGCCTACGCCCCCACTGACTGCAGTTCAGATGAAACGAAGGATGAGTTCTACCAAAAGCTGTCTAGTTTGGTGGAAAGGCTAAACGCTCAGACATAGTCGTTCTAGCTGGTGACTTTAACGCTCAAGTAGGGAAATTGTGTCAATCTGAGAAGGATGTCGGTGGCACCTATGGAGTTCCGTGCCAGCGAACCGACAACGGTGACCGTCTCCTACAGTTCTGCTCTGATAATCATTTGTTTCTTGTAAGCACTAACTTTAAACACAAGGAGAGACACTGTTTGACTTGGAGACCCCCTTCATCAAACCAACGCTGGACACAAATAGACCACATAGCAATAAGCTATCGTTGGCGTGGGTCGGTAGGAGATTGTCGCTCCTTCTGGAACACGTGCGTAGATACCGACCATGCACTGGTCCGCGCTCGGGTGTGCTTACGACTGAACGGACGTAGGAAACAGCTGGCGGTAAAACCATCACGTCCCCAGCTCGATCAGGAAACTAAATCCGTATTTGAGGAAGAACTAGCTAAACACATATCTGTGTTCGACAGCTGTGCTCACCCTGAAGAAGCTTGGAAAAATATCCAGGCAGCCATAGATACAGCTGTAAAAGCTGTGAATAAGGTAAACCCAAAGGTGAGTAAAAACCACTGGATCTCCACCGCCTCATCCGAACTGATAGATGCTAGAAGACTTATTCCGGCGAGCTCCGAATTCAATGAGGAGCGAAAGCTGCACAAGAGGAAACTTACGAAAAGTCTCCGCAAGGACCGTGAACAGTGGTGGGCGACAAAAGCCAAAGAGATGGAGAAAGCTTGAGGATAGGCAACACCAGGCAACTCTTTGGACTCATCAGGGAAACGGGTGGGAGAAGACAAATCATTAGTGAGACAATCTCGGAAAAAAATGGCACTATAATTAGCTCCAGGATAGACGACTGGATCGTTGGAAAGAGCATTATGAGGAGCAGTTTAATTTGCCCACAGCCACGCTCAACCTTCCGAGCATCCAACACCTCCCTGAATGGGATATAGACACAGGTCCTCCGTCACTAACTGAGGTTACTAAAGCTGTCACCAATCTGAAACTAGGCAAAGCAGCGGGACCTGATGGAATGACTCCAGAGGTATTTAAGTACGGTGGAGACAGCTTACTGTCCGGATTAACTGAGGTACTAGGCAGCGTCTGGGAATCAGAAGAAGTCCCATCGGGTTGGTGTAAGTCACTGATTATCCCCATATACAAGAAGGGAGACAAGTCTTCCTGTGATAATCACAGAGGGATTAGCTTGACTAATATAGTATCTAAAGTCTTAGGCTCAATAATCATGCGTAGACTGAGTGGTGCTCGGGAAGCACAAACACGAGAGAGCCAGGCAGGCTTTAGACCAGGAAGAGGGTGTATTGATCATATCTTCACCCTCCGACAGATTCTAGAACATAGGCATTCCTACCGGCGTCCAACAGTCATTATATTTCTTGACCTAAAGGCAGCATTCGACTCTGTCGATCGGGAAGTTCTCTGGAGATGCTTGGCTGTAAAGGGAATTCCAAGAAAATATATTGCACTGATTAAGGCACTCTACTCGTACTCATACAGCCAGGTGAGGGCTTACGGCGAGCTGTCATCTGAACTGATGACGACCAGTGGTGTCCGTCAAGGATGCCCATTATCTCCTTTTCTATTCAACTTCATCATAGATGTGTTAATGGACTTAACCCTAGGTGACTTCAGCGACTCAGGGATTGACTTGCTACCGGGGAATAATCTCGTTGACTTGGAATATGCAGACAAAAAAAAAAAAAAAAAAAAAAAAAAAAAAAAAAAAAAAAAAAAAAAAAAAAAAAAAAAAAAAAAAAAAAAAAAAAAAAAAAAAAAAAAAAAAAAAAAAAAAAAAAAAAAAAAAAAAAAAAAAAAAAAAAAAAAAAAAAAAAAAAAAAAAAAAAAAAAAAAAAAAAAAAAAAAAAAAGACCGCTTCACTTATTTGGGAAGTACCATCAGCCCCAACGGGCTGATCTCTGACGAAATCTCAGCACGAATACAAGGAGCTCGTTTCGCATTTGCCAGTTTACGCCGACTCTGGCGTAGACGAGATGTTCGACTATCGACCAAAGGGCGGGTGTACTGCTCATCAGTCCGCTCCGTCCTCCTTTATGGCTGTGAGACCTGGCCACTGAGAGTGGAAGACATGAAAAGACTAGCTGTCTTTGATCATAGGTGCCTGAGCTCTATTTCCCGTGTAAAGTGGCATAATAAGGTGAGCAACATTGAGGTTAGGCGTAGAGTTCTAGGTAAACAGGGGAAATCAATCGACGAAGTCGTGAAGCTACAAAGACTGAGATGGTTAGGACATGTGTTACGTATGCCAAGCCATCGCCTCCCTCGACGAGCAATGTTAGCGGATATAGGGTCAGGCTGGAAAAAAGCTAGCGGCGGTCAAACAAAAACTTGGCATCAGTCAATGAAATCCACAACAGTCGGTCTAAGCCACGTAGAAAGGTGTAGACTTCCAGGCTGGGGTCCTCGGGACGGTAAAAATCTATGGTTGGAAACAATTGGTGACATGGCTCAAAACCGTTCTCAGTGGCGCAGATGCATCCACTCCCTGTAACTTATGATCTTCAATGAAACTGTTTTGTTCTTCGTTATAACTCCTTTGTCTCACACCTCTGCTCACTGTTTCTATTATGCTTTTCTTGTACTTTCTTCTCTTGCTTCGCGTGCTACACGGAATGTGGCGACTTGAACTTCCGCACATTTGTGCAAAGTTCTATGTCGAAAACAGACAGACAGACAGATATATTGAATGTGTAAAAACTGAGGCACTTGCACCTAGTGGCATGGTGTGGCCACATTGCAAGCTTGACTGATAGAATTCAGTCTGCACCAACCAAAGAAGAAAGGACTACACACAAACACACATTGCACTAATTACTAACTAGTGTGCAATCAAAAGAAGCTGGGTATTTTTTTAATGTATCTGATGTTTGACAATTTTATCAGCACTGTCCATCTGGACATTATCTTTTAGTTCAGATATTGAAGTTGCGATTTTTAACAGTTTTAAACTGATTCACTGACTATATGAGAAATCATGATTTCATTTTAATTTCTCTGATATTTCATAAACTTTCTTGAATTGAATTAACTTCATTAAATGTGCTCTGTGTGCACACGGTATTTTTCACCTACAGAAATAAGATCAAATCTGTAAAGGAAACAATCAATTCTGAACAGAATTCATCAGATGATTTAGATCTGTTTGATTTCTTGAATAATACCAAAACTGTCAGTATACACTCTTCTAGTTCAGGCGGAAGAGATCCAACAAGATATGATTCTCTGCTATCGAATGCTAATAGAATTGAAGAGGATCAAAGTAGTAGTGGTTATGAAACCTCTTTGTCAACAAAAAATACCGATTCCTATGTAATCAAGACGGAGAATGTTGATGATGAGTCTTGTACAAAGGTAGCAACAACAACAACAACAACTGCCTTAACTGGAGGTGAGCCAACCATCAAAAAATCAATAACAATAAACGAAGAGACCGTGAATAAGCCGTCAAATAATCATCTATCGATTGTCAATGATCTACGCGTAGAAAATAAGCTTCTTCGTAGTGAAGTTTCATCGTTAAGTCAAGAAGTTTCTGGACTGTTACGACGTAATCATAAAGCTTCAGAAGAGGTTAAACAATTAACTGGTCAGGTGAGTTATCGATTGTTTAAAATCAGTTTCTCGGTGTTCTAGAATTACCATTTTCTAGTAAAGTGTTACTTACACCAGCTATTCTAGTCCCCTAAAGAAAGCATAACCTTTCTGAGATGTTTTAGTCGTTGTGTTCAATTTAATTGGTGGATGGTAACTAGTAGTGGAATCCATTCAGGATGTGCATTTCTCCCTATTTTCCGACTCGTCGTCTGGATGTACCTGCATTCCCCAGGGAGTGATGATGTTCCCGCCGAGGCTCGAGCCCAGTGCCCATAGTTTCAAACACCAAAGCGTTATCCATTAGACCACTTGAACCACGAGAGCCATCCCGCCTCTTGTGCAACAGGTCATATCAATTATTCAATTGAATTTGAGAATTTCCCGTGGATTGATTGGATCGAAGTGCTCAGACAGTTTGTTGAATCATCTGCACAAGAAGCTGACATGTGAACCTGAGACCGAGCACTAAGGTAAGGTTCAATCAATCGATAGTGTGTTCAATGTTCTACAATGATTCGAGTAGTTTTCAGTAAAATCTACGGTGACGACTGGATGAGTGATAGTTGTTTTGGGTTTGACAAAAATTATTCTCTTTTATGACATTCATTGGGTAGTTGTGGCTAAATCGAAAATCAACAGATACTTGACAGCTCAAACTAGTTGACTGCACTTTATGGTTCTCTATAACAGTTAGCCAGCCAGCCAGCCTTCTTCCTTTTTCACTTTCTTATGTAAATTAACACCCTTAATCGAAGGTGGAGAGTGAAGCAGGAGACAGATAGCAAAATGAAGCGAATATTAAATTACAGTCATAGTATTTACTATTCATAATAGAAGCGTGTTTTTGTCTCACTGAAAGGAAAGTCTCTTTTAACAGTCATTTTCACTGTTCATCAGAATTCAACTAAAAGAAAAAATTTGATAGAATTTATTGTATATCAAACCATGGACTAGATGACTAAAATTAGTTACTATCTAAGCTAAATAAAATCTATGAGAAGTCCTATTTTTTCTATCATTTGATTAATGATAGTCCTCACCAGGTGGACAGAAGAAGAGAGAGGTGCCTTCAAAGTTATCCATCACATTCCATCGATCCTTTTTAACAGAATTCGAACCCGCCTTTTACATATAACTGAAGAAAGAAACTATGGGAATTAATTCGAGAGAACAATCCTAGTCTTGGCATGCGAAAGAAGTTTGTTCTACCCTTGTCTCTCCCTTGCTTGCCTAGGTGAATTCTAATCAAAAGCCTCCCACCCTTTCTTAATCTCCATTTCCTTCGTACTCTCATGATATTGATTTGAACTTTGATTATCTGTCCACTTGACCCTTAGTATTACGTAACTTTTAAGATTTGACCTAATTTATTTATTTCGTGAATTGTCTCCATAAACACATATTACTACCTTCGTTATTCCTACCGCCACCTGCACATTATTTTGTTATCACTGCAATCGTCGTTAGTACCGACGTTTAAAATAGTTATATTATTATTATTCCCTTGAGTTCCGAGTGGAACATAGGGCTCTTCAACAACACATCTCTACTTTGTGCGGTTTTCTGCCGTCCTCTTCAGCTGGGTCCACGATTGCCCATAACCTCTCATCTCTTTCTCATACGATCTTTTCCATGTCACCCTCGGATGACCCACTCGCCACTACTACCCACTTGGGGATATTCCACTTGAGCAATGGCCTGGCGTGCGATGTCATTTGGCAGCCTCCTCAATGTGCGCCCGATCCATCCATCCATCTCCATTTTCTCCTACATATTTGTTGAGCAATCGGCTCTCGCCTGTTGATGGTTTGTCCCAATGCAGAGTTTCTTGTTGATATGTATCCTATATATATATATATATATATATATATATGGTGGTCTCTCTTTCTGTTGCTCGTTTAGTCTGTGACCATTTCACTTTGATGAACCTGTCTCCGTTAACAATGTATATTCCCCTTATATTATATATAATATGAGTGTTTGTTGACAGTCCGTTCCTTGGTGACACATATCCATATATGGTGGTTGTTGACATGTCTGCTATATTTTGCTATGTATATATGGATCGATACTCCATTATATTTAGCCAATCATGTTAAGACTGTCTATTGATTTGTTCACACACTTGTCTGGACATTCATATATATTTCGCTCACACAATCTTGTGTGTCCACTTACTTTCTTTGGTGTGATACCACTTATTGCTTCTCCTTGTGTTTGGAAAATAGAAGTATCATCGCAAACCTAGTGGTCTTCTGATTTCCGTCTTTCTTGCGTCAGGACTATTAAATTCTCGACCAGTACATAACAATAATTTGGCGACGAGTACATAACACTTGTTGCTTATTTTTTCTGGCCGTTATTTGATATTCAGTATGGAGCCAGCCAGCCAGTGAAGGCATCAGCTGTTGGTGAAAGTCTTTCTTAGCCTGCCGGTAGTTGAGACGATGCTTTCTGGCCAGATAAGTGAAGGAGGCAACACCTCTGTTAAATCTCTCCTGTCGATGGTAATTGGTGCTCTAGTTGTTGTTGTCGCTGTTGACAGTGAGTGGTTGGTTATATCTTCATCACCTCCGTCTTCTCTGTGTGTTCACCTGGAGTGTCCTGTTTTCTCTGCGCTTTTTGAGCGTGTTTATTGTTGGTTTTCGCTTGCAAGTTTTCGAGTTTGTCTAACGTGTTAGTCGTGTATATTACTTACCACATTGTCATTATTTGATCACCAAACTCCTCACCGATATTGGTCAAAATTTTTTTTATTCATAAATCTCTTTTAAATTCGAGTAAAGCGTGAAGAAGAAGATCTAATTGAAAACAACGATATTCTTCACTTATATGTATTGTTGTGATAAAATAATTATGCGAATATTTAAAGATTACTAACAAGTTTTCAATTGAAGTATCCTCTATACTCTTACAGGCGGTCAATTGTAAGGCTGAATATCTCCGTGATAACGTCTCTAACTTGAGTATTGGGTGACACAAGCTCCAGTCTCAGAAGAGAATTGGAATTCCTTGATGATTGTAGATACACTGTGGACATCAGTGCCAGCTAGCTCTAAGGACACTTGCGGATTCCCTTCAACCATAAAACATAAGTTTAGAGTAAATCTGTGTAAACCTTTTATCAACCTTATGAACTGTCTGACTGGTGTCAACGTAGAACTTTGCACCGGTGTGCAACAGTTCAAGTCGCCACACTCCCTCCATGTACCACACAAGGCAACAGAAGAAAGTAGAAGAAATGCATAATAGAGACAATAGACAGGTTATGAGACAAAAGAGATAGTAATAATGAAGAGCAATTTAGTTTCATTGGGTATTATAAACCACAAGGAGTGGAGGAGGCATCTGCGCCATCATCAAGAACGATTTTGAGCCATATCACCAATTGTCTCCAGCATCCATTGGTTTTTAATGTTTTTGATGTGGTTTTGTTCTCTGAGCTGGGTGGTTAATTTGCGAAGCTTTCATCACCCTACTGGGTGACGTCTTCAGCGCATACTTCAATTTGAAGTGAGCTTTTAGATTTCTCCACGAGTTTATTAATCATCTCTCCTGGTGACCTTGGACGTGATTGGTTGTTTATGTGTTTTCACATCTTCTAGGTTACTTGTATTGGAACTGATTGTTTCTTTGACTTGAACTTTGACCCTTTGTGTGTGAAGTTTCTTTCTTATTGGTTGATAAATTTTGTCTATCTCGATGTGTCTATTGATTGATGATTTTAATGTCCCGACAACCACAACTAGTCAGGAAGTCTACACCTTCCTACGTGGCTGGCTGAAAATAACTGTTTTGTGTTTCATAGACTGATGAAGCCATGTTTTGGTTTGACCACCACTAGCTAACTCTTTTCCAACATGACCCCATGTCAGCTAAGATCGGTCGTCGTCGACGAAACCCACGGCTAGTTATACGTAACCTTTTGCATAGATGGGGCCATATGTTTTACTTAATCCAACAGAGTATAATTATAATTGATTTTACATATAAAGCATTCTGTTTCAATACATTTTGTTATATGTTCAGGTGTGTACAGGTTTTTCAACAATTAAATTTTTTTATTAAAATGGATAAGGCCTAATTAAGCGAACTTTAGAATATAAAATATAATATGGTATGTAGGAATGTCTAATGAATGTCAGATAGGTTAAATACTAATTAGGTATTTGTGAAATTGGTTTTTGTAACTGTTGGATATATTTGTGCGTTTAAGTTTCTGTAGCGATTTAGTTAAGTTTTCGGGGTGGAGTTGCTAGCACCACGCCCCAACCCTCCTTCTTTATCCGGGCTTGAGACCAACTAGAAAACTAGCAAGCTAGTAATCTAGGCGAGATTAAAATATGGAACGCTTCACGATTTCGCGTGTAATCCTTGCGCAGTTCTTCTATGTGGATCAGAAACTTGGCGGGCGGGTCACAAAGAATATTTCCAAAAGGTTGCAGACCTTTATTAACAACTGTCTTCGCTCTATACTGAATGAAGATCAGATGGCCGGGCCGGAAAGAATCACCAACAAGAAACTATGGCTGGGAAGAAACAAAACAAGAACCAATCAATCGCCAACCAACAAATATGCAGGAGAAAGTGGAGATGGATTGGGCACTAGCTGAGGAGGAGGCCGCTGGGTGACATGGAGCGCGCGTCAGGCCATTCCTCGAGTGGAACCCGCCGAAAGGGAATCAGCGAGTGGGACGTCGGTGCAAGGGTGGGTGACATGGAGGAGATGGTGTGAAGAGGAGTCGAAACAGTATGGACTAACATGGATGGATGCAGGTGAAAAGTACAGGAGAAGGGAGACAGAAGTGGCAAGTGGAGACGTGGAGTTGAAGCCGTATGTTCCACTAGGAACCCAAGGGAACAATAATAATAATTATTGGATATACAGTTATCAGTCTATATTAAACGTTTAAGTAAATTATTCAGGGATATAATAAGGTGAATGAAAATGTTATCTGTATGTATGAATGACATAATATAAGTAAATCAGTATACAC